GAATAGTAGGTAAGTTTGGGGTGCCAGGGGAAAATGAAAATTGGGAGCCTTTAATTGAACTATGTATAAAAAGAGGTTTGGTAATAAGTAATACATATTTTAAGAAAAAGAGGATAAATAAGTATACAAGATATGATATAGCACATAATGAAAGTAGTTTGTTAGATTATGTATTGGTGGATTGAAGGTTGATGGGTAGACTTCAGAATGTGCATGTTTATAGAGGAGCAACAGATACATCAGATCATTATTTAGTTGTAGCTACAGTTAGAGTAAGAGGTAGATGGGGAAAAAGGAAAATGGCAACATCAGGGTGCAAGTTTATAAACTAAAGGAGGAAAGTGGGCTAGTGAGAGTATAGGTAGTGTGGGAGGTTGAAGAGGGGGTGGGATGGTTTTAAAAATGCAGTGTTACAATGTGGGGCAGATGTTTGCAGCAGTAGGAGGGTGAGTGCAAGAGAAAAGAGGAGTGATTGCTAAAGGGTGTGATAAAAGAGAATAGGTCACTTACGAGAGCTTTTTACAAAGCAGAAGTGATGTAAGAAGGGTGGAATATTTGGAGAGTAAAAGAGAAGTGAAGAGTGTGGTGAGGTAGTGAAAAAAGGAGAGCAAATATGAAGCACTGTCAGCAAATTTTGCTGAGAATAAGAAACCATTTTGGAGTGAGATAAATAGGTTAAGAAAGCATAGGGAATATATGGATTTGACAGTTAAAATTAGAATAGTGGAGTTAGTAGATGGGGAGTTGGAGGTATTGGGAAGATGGTGAGAATATTTTGAGGAACTGTTAAATGTTGAAGAAGAGAGGGAGGCAGTAATTTCATGCATTGGCCAGGGAGGTATAATGTCCATTAGGAATGAAGAAGAGCCTGATGTGAGTATGGGGTTGGTGTGTGAGGTATTAGGTAGAATGAAAGGAGGTAAACCAACTGGAACTGATGGGATCATGACAACTGTTAAAAGCAAGAAAGAAGGGAGGACATAGTTTTGGAGTGGTTGGTACTTTTGTTCAATAAAGGTATGAAAGAGGGGAAGGTACCTGATGATTGGCAGAAAGCATGTATAATCCCTTTATATAAAGGAAAGGGGGGACAAAAGAGAGTGTATAAATTATGGGGAAATAACTTTACTGAGTATATCAGGTAAAATATATGGTAGGGTTATTATTGAAGGAATTAGAGGTAAGACAGAGAGCAGGATCACAGATGAACATGGAGGCTTTAGAATGAGTAGGGGATGTGTAGATCAAGTGTTTACATTGAAGCATTTAAGTGAACAATATTTAGATAAAGATAGAAAAATTTTTGTTGCACTTATAGACTTTCATATGATAGTGGATAAGGGAGCAGTGTGGCAGGTTAAGGTGTGTAGGAGAGAGAGGGAGATTACTTTTCAGTAAAAGTAGGCCTTAGAGAGGGATGTGTAATATCACCATGGTTGTTTAACATATTTGTAGATGGGGTTGTAAAAGAAGTAAATGCTAGGATGTTGGGAAGAGGGGTGAAATTAAATTATGGGGAATCAAATACAAAATGGGAGTTGACACAGTTACTTTTTTGCTGATGATACTGTGCTTTTGGGAGATTCTAAAGAGCAGTTGCAAAGGACGAGTTTGGGACAGTGTGTAACGAAAGTTGAAAGCGACCCTGACCAGCCAGGCTGTGGTTTGTACGTCGGGTTGCATGCAGCCAACAGTAACAGCCTGGTTGATCAGGCCCTGATCCACCATGGGGCCTGATCAGACTAAGCCGTAAGGGCACTGACCCTTGAAACCCACTCCAGGTATACTCTAGATAAGAGTAAGGTGATGATGGTGTCAAACAAGTTAGGTAAAGAAGAATTGGAGGGAGGGAGTATGGAAGAAGTGAATGTGTTCAGATATTTGGGAGTAGATTTATCAGCAGATGGGTTTATGAAGGATGAGGTTAATCATAGAGTTGACGAAAAAAAAATGAGTGGTGCATTGTGGTATCTGTGGAGACTTAAAACATTATTCATGGAGGCAAAGAAGGGAATGTACGGGTATAGTAGTACCAACACTCTTATATGGGTGTGAAGCATGGGTTGTAAATGCTGCAGTGAGAAAGAGGCTGGAGGCAATGGAGATGTCGTGTCTAAGGGCAGTGTCTGGTGTAAATGTTACGCAGAGAATTCGTAGTGTGGAAATTAGGAGGAAGTGTGGAGTTACTACAAGTATTGCTCAGAGGGCTGAAGAGGGATTATTGAGGTGGTTTGGTCATTTAGACAGGATGAAGCAAAATAGGTTGACTTGGAGGGTGTATAAATCTGTAGTGGAGGGGAGGAGAGGAAGGGGTTTTCCTAGGAAAGGATGGAGGCAGGGGGTAAAAGAGGTTGTGTGTGCAAGGGGCCTGGACATGCAGCAGGCGTGTGTGAGCATGTTAGATAGGAGTAAATGAAGACGAATGGCTTTTGGGACCTGACAGGCTGTTGGAGTGTGAGCAGGGTAATATTTTGTAAAGGGATTTGGGGAAACTGGTTAGCCAGACTTGAGTTCTGGAGGTGGTAAGTACAATGCCTGCACTTTAAAGGAGGAGTTTGGGATATGTTTGGAGGGACATCTAAACTTGTATCTGAGCGCTTCTGCAAAATCAGTGATTATGTGTAATGATGAAAGTGTGTTTCTTTTTTGGGTCACCCTGCCTCGGTGGGAGACAGCCGTCATGTTAAAAAATATATACACAGAAATCACTCCCTACGAAAGTAAAAGACTGGGTAGGTGATGCAAAATACCCCCAGTTAAAAGTACACTAAGAGAAAACACCATAAGTGTCCGGGGCCCAAGACTGTTCAACAGCCTCCCATCAAGCACTAGGGGAATTACCAATAAACCCCAGGCTGCCTTCAAGAGAGAGCTGGACAGATACCTAAAGTCAGTGCCGGATCAGCCAGGCTGTGGCTGGTACATTGGACTGCGTGCGGCCAGCAGTAACAGCCTGGTTGATCAGGCCCTGATCCACCAGGAGGCCTGGCCATGGACCGGGCTGCGGGGGCGTTGATCCCCGGAATAACCTCCAGGTATACAGCTTCTCCTCACTTAGTGACGTACTCAGACTTACAACAGGCTCTCTGACCAGTATGCATACCTAAATAATGTAGTATATTACAGCTGATTTCCTCTATTCTTTTTATTACAATATGCAGTACATTATTGTATAAACATTTAAAAATATACTAAAAATGTTATAAATGGCGCAAGGGTGACATTAAATTAATATTTTACTTAACCCATTTCGTTATGATTGGCAGTTAGATGTGCTAGTTCCAATCTGCACTCATCTATGTCTTCAGATTCATTTGTTAGTGCTTTTCTGGTGAGAGCTTTTAAACTTATGTTTGAGAGCCTAAAATTGTTCACTTACATTAAGCATTCTCTTTATTTTTAAAGACGGTTGACTTAAAAACACTACCATTATAGTATGCTCCGTGTTTAGCTACGAATTAGTTTACTGACACGGGATAAGGAACGGAACTCTGTTGTTAAGTGAGGAAAGGCTGTATTTAATTTTTTTTAACAAACCAGCCACGACCTTCCAAGGCAGGGTGACCTAAAAAGAAAAACAAAAGTTTTTTCCTTTTAAATTTAGTAATGTATACAGAAGGGGTTACTAGCCCCTTGCTACCAGCATTTTAGTAGCTTCTTATGACATGCATGGCTTACGGAAGGAGGATTCCTTTTCCACTTCCCCATGGAGATAAGAGGAAATAAAGAAGAACAAGAACTGTTAAGAAAATAGAAGAAAACCCAGATGGGTGTGTAAATATGAGTGTGCGTTCATATATAGTGTGACCTAAGATTTTTTTTAACACTCGGCCATCTTCCACTGAGGCAGAATGGCCCAAAAAAGAAAGAAACATTATTATTAATACATCCATGAACAAGTGGTTCTAAGTAAATAGCAATACTGTGACTGGCCAGGAATTGAACCCCTGTTACTTTACCATGCCTCCTGAAAAGCCCGCCAAAATTGAGACACCCTAGACCACTTAGCCCTCAATGTCACAAACATCAGGAGGCCTGTACCACTGTACATGTCACTCTTGATGCAGACATATGTACATGGCTGTGGCAAGCTACTGGTTAAATTTCATTCTCCTTCCATTTGAAATACCAGTCACATGAGCAATATACATATTAATGCATCCATGAACAAGTAGTTCTGAGTAAATATATATCTGTCTCAATGCACCGGCTGTCTCCCACCGAGGCAAGGTGACCTAAAAAAGAAAAACAAAAGTTTTTCTTTTTCCATGTAATTTATACAGGAAAGAGGGTGTTACTAGTAGCCCCTTTCTCCAAGGCAGGCAATCCAACAAGGAAACTCCTGTTATCAGTCTTTCTCTGGGTTCTTTCCATAAGTTCAAGTATCACATTCCATTAACACACCAGTCCACAACATCCCATCTTGAATTGAGCTCACTAGTTTTCCTGAATCCTCTCATAGGTATTACAATGCTCACACTCCTATTTCACAGGAGATTTCTTAAATGAAGTGTCTCCACTCTGATCTAATATTCTCTTCTGTGGCTACTGGATGCTTAAACCCTTACTTACCTCCCCAAACTTGTGTATTTGTATATTCCTCTTTTAACTTTCTTGGTTTTGTTCCCAGTATGCTTTATAGCAAGGCAATTGCTAAAATAGGCATGCTTTTCGTATGTATGTGTGCACACACATGCGTGCACGTGTGTGGGTGGGTTGGTGGGTGTGTGCATGTATGTGAATTTCTGTATGTAGTCCTATTCTCCCACCTTCCTATGCTTATGTATATATTGCAGTAAGGTGGGGCGGTTTCGTGTTGCTGGCCATCATGGTGTTATCATAACACCACATCCTGATGGTGTTGCCCTTTCCCTCTCTCCTCTTGTATCTGTTTGTCTTGTAGTTTTTCTCATCTGCTGAGACTTTCCCTGCCCTGCCTGTGCTCTCTAGTGCCTGAGTGTTGCTCATCACTAACCCATCAATTCCTCTCCCTCTTTCAGCAACCTGGCAAACTAAACCTTAAGGCCTATAGCAACGTGACTGATGCCATTGGCAAAATAAACCTGAAAGACGCGGGTCTCCTACACTCTAAACTAACCAAAGTGGGTTCCGTGCACGCACCCCTTGCCACCCCAGAGAACATGGACCTTGGCCCAGATTACGCCGCTGTGAGTACGCTCATCGTCCCAATCCCGACTGCTGCCAAAACCCCCACCCATTCCCTAGCCCTCCCTCTCCCCCTCTTCCCTTTTCCTCTCATATCTTGAGGCACTCTTTCTAACTGTACTTTCCTTTGCATTTCTGCTTGTTCCTTTGTACTTCCTCTTCCTCTTCCATAACTCTTTCTTTGTCTTGGGACTTTGTTACTCATTCTTTATGGTCATTAATACTCCAGCTCAAATGGGCTCATTAAAGTCTTCATTTGTTATGACTGATGCACTTTTGTTGCTACTCATTCTTCTTATTTTATCATCATCATCATCATCAATCACCATCACCGCTGCCACCACCACCATCACCTCTTCCTCCTCCTCCTCTGTTGCAGTACTGAATAATCCACACTGGGTTAGAGGTGTTTGAAAAAACAGTAATTATTATTCTCTTCTAACTTCTTTCCTTCCTCCTCTGCCTCCTCTTATCCTTTGATTTTTTTACCTCATAATCTCTTACCATACATATATACGTACATGTGTACATACATACATAAAGTATGTTAAATGTATATATAGTATATGTATTAACACACTGGCTGTTTCCCACTGAATCAGGGTGATGCTAAAAGAAAAAGAACATTTTCACCATCACTCCATCATTGTCCTGCCAGAGGAGTGCCGATACTACAGTTCAAAAATTGCAGATGTCCCCACCCCTCCTTCAGAGTGAAGGCACTGTACTTCCCACTTCCAGGACTCAAGTCTGGCTAAATGGTTTCCTTAAATCCCTTCACAAAATGCTATGAACCATGCACAAAGTATTTCTCCTTTTCCTCCTCCCTCCTCCATCTTCATCAACTTTTTCTCCTCAGTTTCCTTCTTCTTCCCTTATAGTTTGATATCTTTCCTATATCCATCTCTTCCATATTATAATTTGCTTCCACCTCATTCCTCCTCCCCTTCTCTTTTTCTCTTCTCTTTGGTTTTTCTGTCACCTCCTACATATCATTCCCTTCATTAATTTCTCCTTATCTCTTATCCTCATTGTCCTCCTTCCTCTTCTCTATCATCCTGCCTCCTAATCATCCACATCATTGCCCCTCTTCTTCTCTCTACCTTATTCTCTTCTTTCTCCTTATCCTCTTCTATTTGAAACAAGTACAAAATCAGCAGTCTTTTGATGGTTGAGTGGACCTGCAAGTTTGCAAGTTGCCAGCAACAACACCTTGGTTGTGGGCCTGCAAGTTGCCAGCAACAACACCTTGGTTGTGGGCCTGCAAGTTGCCAGCAACAACACCTTGGTTGTGGGCCTGCAAGTTGCCAGCAACAACCTTGGTTGTGGGCCTGCAATTGCCAGCAACAACACCTTGGTTGTGGCCTGCAAGTTGCCAGCAACAACACCTTGGTTGTGGGCCTGCATGTTGCCAGCAACAACACCTTGGTTGTGGGCCTGCATGTTGCCAGCAACAACTTGGTTGTGGGCCTGCATGTTGCCAGCAACAACTTGGTTGTGGGCCTGCAAGTTGCCAGCAACAACACCTTGGTTGTGGGCCTGCATGTTGCCAGCAACAACTTGGTTGTGGGCCTGCAAGTTGCCAGCAACAACACCTTGGTTGTGGGCCTGCAAGTTCCCATCAACAACAATTTGGTTGTGGGCCTGCAAGTTGCCGGCAGGAACAACTTGGTTGTGGACTTGCAGGTTGCTGGCATCAACAGCTTGGTTGTGGGCCTGCAGGTTGCTGGCATCAACAACTTGGTTGTGGGCCTGCAGGTTGCTGGCATTAACAACTTGGTTGTGGGCCTGCAGGTTGCTGGCAGCAACAGCTTTGTTGTGGGCTTGCAGGTTACTGGTATCAACAACTTGGTTGTAGGCCTGCAGGTTGCTGGCAGTAATAGTTTGCTTGACCAGGCAGTCAGCAATTCAGTCTTGTTATTGGCCAAACTTCAAGAGTAAAAGAACTCTCGAAATTGGTCAAAGGTATGTCACAGGTATGTCTTCCTTCTTTTCCTTCTCCTTGTCCTGTAGCCTCTCTTTCCTTTTTAACTTCTTCCTTCTCCAACTTTTGTGTCCTTCCCTTTGTGTCTCCCTTCTTGCAGTTCCTCTTATTTTCTATCCTCTTCTGTCTCCTGTCCTTTATTTTGCCTCCTACCTGCCTGCCCCTTCTGCTTTTAACTTTTTGTTTCCTTGACTTCTTGTTGTCGTGATGGTGGTGATGTTTTCTCGCTCACGCTGACTGCTAACATAACACTTTTCATTAGGTTCCTTCTCATGCCCTTAAACTTGTACATTAGTTTAGAATTAGCGTGTACACTGCTTTCTAAAGTTTCTTTTTGTTGAGTTTTTTTTTTTAATTTTGTTATATTATTTGCCAGTTGCTTTCCTTACTGAATGTGTGAATATTAGCACATGAAGGTCAAATTTACATATTGCTCAATATCATTTGTATTTTTAAATCAGCTGTCTAATGAATAGTATATCTGCAGGTAAAAGATGCTGTTCCAGTTCTATATGGCAGTTTTGAGGCGGGCGACTATGGGTATTCCCGAGTTCAAGAGATACCCCAGGCTGCCGGCTCAAAGGCCAGGCGACAACGGAGGGAAAAGGGGCGGCAAGGTTGGTTCATACAGGAATGCTTTTGCGATCAGCTATTCTGAGCCCCACTCCTTCCACTTTCCATTCACCAAATATCTTGAGGATAAATTCACAACAAAAATTTTCTCATCACTCGTAATGGCTGGTCGCAGACAGTAGAGTCTGGTTAAAGTTACCAATAGTCAATTATTTTACTAGTTAATGTTATGAATCACTTGGTGTTGCCAGCTTGACACAATCAGGGCAGTAGCCAGGGGTGGCCAGTACAGGCTGTGGCTCACCCCAGGCCAATCCTCACTCTCAGTGGGTTCAGCATTTTCTTACCATTTATATTATTACCTTTTGTTCATTGTCATGATTATTGTGTGTGTGTTATTGTCACTTGAATTACAGTAAAATTATTGAATTATTTTATAATTGCATGGGCAGTGTTCCCTCTCATCTGTTTCCATCCATCCTTGTCCAGTATTATGCCCCCCCCAGCCCCCCCTACCTCAGTGTAAGCCCCAGGCTACTTGCTTCAGATGTGCGTGCGACCCCCCAGCCCCCACTAGACACACTGATCATGTTCCTTGATGGTGTATGGGCCAGCCTCCTCAAGTACCATGGTCTACCATAGAATCATTGGGTCCTGTCTGAAAATAGATTGTTGTTGTAGAGGAGTTTTAGCTGCAGTGTGAGTGCAGGAAATAAAGTTCGGCATTGTATGCAACTTGGTATATCATTAAAAAAGGTGATGACTAAGACACATGTGCAGCAGTTAGGTATCTTCATTGTTAAAACCTTTCATCTATATAGTAGGCTTCTTCAGTCAGATTCAGAGGCATTAGATGTAGTAATGAAATGAAGATGATGCAATCAGTCAATCAGAAATAGTATTTGAGATAGTCAGTACCTCAGCCTGGAGAAGAATCTGGAATAATATTGGCCAGACCATGGAGCTGAACTCTTCTCCAGACTGAGGGACTGACCACCTCAAATACTATTTCTACAAGGTTGATGGACTGATTACATCTTCGTTTCACTACTACACCTGCTACCTCTGTAGTTGACTGAAGAAGCCCACTGTATAAGTGTTGCAATAAAGATACCCAACTGTTGCATATGTGTCTTACTCATCAACTTGTCGGCATTTTATTCCATTTTCAACATTTAAAAAGGTGTTTCCTCTGGACCCAGGGAGAGACTTAGATTAACACTTGATACAGTGTACCATAGAGAGACTTAGATTAACACTTGATACAGTGTACCATAGAATGAAACCCCTGGCTATGTCCCTCACCTCTTCTGATGTTGCAAAGTCATAACAGCAAACTTTTTCTTTACAAACATTAACCACTCATGAGAGGATCAACTTTGTAAAAGGATTAAGTGAAATCTTCTTGAAGCTTAGTTGTCATAGCAGAAAAACAGGTATTAATTTTTTTTTTTATGTTTTGTCTCCAATAAAAAAGTGATGTAAAAAAAATGAAATAAATTTTGTTATGGAGACATTTGTTAAGGGTTTGTAATAGAATTTAAAAAATATATACGGATTGTTACATACTCTGTGTCAGGGTGCTATCTCTTTCTCTTTTCTCTCTATTGTCTCTTTTCACGTTTTCTTCCTTTCCTTTCCTACTCTTCTTTTCTTTTTCTCTTTTCTTTTCTCTGATTTAGTTAGCTACTTTCTTTTCCTCTTTTCTCTCTTTGCCTTTTCTCTTTTTTCTCTTCTTCTTCCTTCATCTTTCTCTCATCTTTTTCTCTCTCTTTTTTCTCTCCTCTTTTCTCTTACTTTTTCTTCACTCTTTTCTCGTCTTTTCTATCTCTTTTCTTCTCTCTTTTCTTCTCTCTTTTCTCTCTTTTTTCTCTCTTTCTCTCTCCTTTCTCCTTCTCTCTCTTTCTCTCTTCTTTTCTCTCTCTTTTTCTTCTCTTTCTCTCTTTTTCTCTCTCTTTCTCTCTCTTTTCTCTCTTTTCTCTCTTTTCTCTCTTTTTCTTCTCTTCTCTCTTTTCTCTCTCTTTCTTCTCTTTTTCTCTCTCTTTCCTCTCTCTCTTCTCTCTCTTTTCTCTCTTTTTCTCTCCTCTTTTCTCTCTCTTTTCTCTCTCTTTTCTCTCCCCTCTTTTCCTTCTCTCTTTTTTTCTCTCTTTCTCTTCTCTTTTCTCTCTCTTTCTCTTTCTCTCTCTTTTTCTCTCTTCTTTCTCTCTTCTCTCTCTTTTCCTCTTTTCTCTTTTTCTCTCTTTCTCTCTCTTTTCTCTCTTTTCCTCTTCTCTCTTTTCTCTCTCTTTTTCTCTTCTCTCTTTTTCTCCTCTCTCTTTTCTCCTCTCTCTTTCTTCTCTTTTCTCTCTCTTTCTTTTCTCTCTTTTCTCTCTTTTTCTCTCTCTTTTCTCTCTTTCTTCTCTCTTTCTCTCTTCTCTCTCTCTTCTCTCTCTCTTCTCTCTCTCTCTCTCTCTCTCTCTCTCTCTCTCTCTCTCTCTCTCTCTCTCTCTCTCTCTCTCTCTCTCTCTCTTTTAAATTTTTTTTTAACATGCTGGCCATTTCCCACTGAGGCAAGGTGGACCCTCCCCCCACAAAAAAAAAAAAAAATAACCATTTTACCATCATTCACACATAATCATTGTCTTTGCAGAGGTGCCCAGATACAACACTTTAGATGTCAATCCAAACAGCCAATATCCCAAATCCCTAATTTAAAGTGCAGGAATTGTACTTCCTACCTCCAGAACTCAAGTCTGGCTATCAGGTTTCCCTGAATCCCTTCACAAAATATTACCCTGCTCACACTCCAACAGCTCGTCAAGTCCCAAAAACCATTCGCCTCCAATCACTCCTATCTAACATGCTCACACATGCCTGCTGTATGCCCAAGCCCCTTGCACACAAAGCCTCTTTTACCCCCTCCTTCTATCCTTTCCTAGGATGACCCCTACCCTTCCTTCCCTCCACTACAGATTTATATACCCTCCAAGTCATCCTGTTTTGCTCCATCCTCTCTAAATGACCAAACCACCTCAACAACCTCTCCTCATCCCTCTGAATAATACTTCAGTAACTCCACACCTAATTTCCGCACTACGAATCTCTGCATAATATTTACACTATGCACTGCCCTTAGACACAACATCTCCATTGTCTCCAGCCTCTTCCTTGCTGCAGTATTTACAACCCATGCTTCACACCCATGTAAGAATGTTGGTAGCAGTATACTCTCATACATTCCCTTCTTTGCCTCCTTGGATAATGTTCTTTGTATTCCATATACTATTTTTTTTTTTTAACGCATTGGCCGTTTCCCACATGCACACACATGCACACAGAAATACAATTCCTAGCAAGGCAACAGGGAGAAACAGTGAAACCAAAGCAAATTTTATGGTTGTAAGGGATTTTATTCACCTTGAAATAGACTGGGAGACCTAGGATCCACATGCAGAGTCAGAAACACAAATAAAATTGATTGAGACAGTATAGAAATATTTTATGACCTTGAATGGCAAAAAAAAAAAAAAACTCAAGAATGTAGCAGATAATGAACCTCCTCAGCTTGATTTGGTTTTTACCTTAAGTGAATTTGACATAGGAAAAATAGAATGTAGCCTTCCACTAGAACTTGATCCCACAGAGCTTAGGAAGAGGAGGTACAGATAATGAGCCAGACTACAGATGAGACTCCAGGAATAAGATTTTTTAAAAGGAGTCCACTGAGACAGTGAACTAAGTGATGAGACAACAAATGAGTTGGAAGGCATAGCCAGAAAATGCAGGAAGCAACAGTAAGGTTCATACCTATGAGGAGGGATGGGAAGACAAAGTGCAGAGAGAGTTCTTCGTCTAATCAGAGTTGCAGATAGGTCAAAGGAAGAAGGAAAAGAGCATGCAAAAAGGACAAAACATAGAGGAAGACAGATAATATGGAAGGAAGCAGAATAGCTAGGAAGTGTTTGAGAATGACAGCAGCAAAGATCAAATTAAGAGCCAAAAGATCTGTATAGAATGAAGGGGACTCTTAAGTAACAAGGCTAAAGAAAGAGATAAGAGTACTTGCAAGACAGTAAGGAGGTATACCAGGAATTAAGCAGAGGGTTTTACTGATACACGTATCAAAAGAGTAATAATAAAACCACTGAAAGGTACAAGAATTGCACGAACCTATAGCACAGATTCACAATATGTCGTTCAAGATGGACAAACTGCTGGATAGCTGAAAACTCCAAATGTGGTCTCAATATACAAGTGCAGGTCTTATTTTATTTTTAAAATAAGCACTTTTGTTCACAGTGCAAATAGAACAATTGTTGCAGTGGAAAGTGAATAGAGGGTGTATCTAACAGTATATTAAAAACATTGTGGATGTGCCCATCAGTGGAAGTAAAGGAGATGTTTGTGCAAGGAATATGTTGCTGAAATATCTATAGAGAATGACACAGTTAAATAGAACTTTGTGGAAAGGTATGAAAAAAAATAATTTTAACCCTTTGACTGTCGTGGCCGTATATACAGGAGGGCCCCACTTATACGGCGGGTTAGGTTCCAGGCTACCGCCGTAAAGCGGAAACCGCCGTAAAGTGGAACACCCTTTTTTTTCCACTTACAAATGCATACAAACACTAGATAACAAGTTTACACTAACATATATTATGTTAGCAATAGAACCAGGCATCAAAAAAAACAATAAAAAAGTACAATACACACATAGTGCACTCATTACTTACCTTAAAATATTTATAGTCTTAATCTAGGGTGAGACAAGTAGTATTTATTGTAAGAAATCAAGTGTGGTATGTATGGTAGTCAGCCAGGCTACCATACCAGGCCACCCCACCCACACATACTATTCTATGATATTTAAGCATCCCAGAGCGATAAAATGTATATACAGTTCACTCATTACTTACCTTAAAATATAGGGTGAGATGAGTAGTATTTATTGTAAAAAATCAAGTGTGGTATGTATGGTAGTCAGCCAGGCTACCATACCAGAGAGAAAGAATGAGTGCATGAGAGAGGACAGGCGCAGAGTTATGTAAACAAACCAGGCGAAGGT